TTGGCACGATTCGAAAATCTTATTAACGTTTAAGAAAATGTGTAGGTCTAATTATAGTAAAACCGAAGTATTTCGACGACCTTCGTTTTCATTAAATTTCCTATTGCACATGTCATTTTTCAACAGAAATTGAACTCATCGTTGACATTAAAATCAAGTACAGGATATTGTGATTTATTGTCATTAAAATATAGGTAGATAGAGAGAATTTCTCAACTTTATTTGCTTTATACAAGTATATGGTGTACTGAAAAAGCTAATAAATATTATTCTTTGAAATGCAACCAACAAATCCAAAAAATACTGTTAATAGAATGGCACACGAAGAAGATACTTTCAAAATTTGAAATGCCTTCAAAATCTACCAAACAATCTCATCGAACAGGCGCCAAAAACAGAATTCAAAGATCAGACTGGAATAGAGTGATTAAGTATTTGTGATAACCAGAAATCAAAACTAAGTCGAATTTGACTTGAAGGATTTTGCTTTTCCAAGTATTCTATTGTGGAAGCCACATATATTTTCGATGAAAATAATGAGTACAAGTTTAAATCAAAGTCTTTGAGGCTACTATTCCCCTCTACCAAAATCACAGACGCTAACAACCACTGCTTCCCCTTCTCGTCCCCGTTACAGACAACTCCAGATTACACACCTCGACATCTAGGATTAAATCATGGATATATATAACAGTCTTGTTTATCATTTAATTCAATGCTGATAATAATACAACTGTTAAATTAAGAAAAAAAGAAGTATAAAAATTAAAAATAATCAGCCAATAGCGAAAATGAAAACGGGAAATAGAGCCTCCTTCAGAAAGAAAAAATAAAAAAATTCTTGATTTCATACTTTCTGCATTTCGTATTACTATTATCTGCTAAAGAAGATATATGAGTTCCACATTTCAGCAGCAAAGAGGCTGCGCTAACAAGTTTTCTCTATAAACATCTTTTTCCTATAACACCTACTGGGGTCTTCTACTTCAACAATATTACTAATGAATATGAAAACACAACATTAAGCTTTTTTTTTTCTGTTTTATTTCTTTTTCTAGCTCCAAAAACACAGCATTGTAAATGGTAAAAATCTACATTATTACGTCACCGTTTCTCGTAATCTCGTCAAATAGTGACAACAGTGAAGAAAATAATGGCAGTTTTTTAGCAAAAAAGCGGCTTGTAAAGTCGAATGAAGGATTACAGTGAAATCCAGGGTGGACCAAAAAAACTTACTTCTCCCTCTCCCCTAATGAAGGGTGTGGGTGTGGATGTGGGTGGGTGTATATGATTCAAATTCTTCTCACACCCATATCCCATCCGTCACACAAAGTGTGGGTAAATGCATAAAGCTTGATACGGAAAGCATAGAGGGCTGAGATTGACGCTGAGGATAAGGATGCAAGCGGTTTACCCGAAAAAAAAAAACATTTTCATTTGTGGATGACATTTATTGAGTACCATTTAAAACCATTGATTTCTTTATCATGAGAGTAATTAAAACCTTCGCTTCTCCAATGCGAGTCACTTATGGAGATGAGTGTGGACGAAAAAAGAGGCTCGTTTGATTGAAAAATCATTCGGTTTTATGAGTTTATTCTCCAAAATCGACGATGTCTTTGCAAATCTTTCTTTCACAAAATCAAATCTAACATGAATATCTCCGATTGTATAGTTATTTTATCTAAAATATCTGTCTACTATATATCAACAATGATCATCCTAGTACAGAGGAGATCAACAGGTAGTTGTTTACAAAAATATATCTTGTGTCTACTTTTCTGTACAGTTCAGCTGCTTTCGCTACTCTACAACATTGTCATTTCTCATTGAAATTCAAAGAACTGTTTTACGAAAATGATCAGCGAAAAACTCTACAAAGTCTGATATGAAAGGAAATTTTGTGAATACTTCGTGTGTTTTTTTGGTTGACTACTCATAGAACTATGCATTGTTGAAAGCACAGATAGTTGATGGGATATTTGGCGAATCAAAACGTTTTGACTGATCCCTCATTTTTTTTGTGAGCACTTTTTTCTTTAAACTCTGTGGAACTGAACCAATCATCAACACCATAATGCAGACATCCAGATTGTTTTTCCTCATTGACCACAATCACTTTAGTTATGCCGACAACGAATTATTGTTCGGAGCGACCTCAAGCGATCGAGTGAATAAGCTTACACATAATAAGTGATTGAGATGAAGAGGCTAATAACAAAATCTAAAAAAGATTCACGATGAGTACACATTATGAATGAGACTGAAAAAAATATACTTTCATTGCAAATTGACATGTATCAAACCCGAATTCAATTTCGAGTTTCGATACCAAGCTTTATAGGATTGAGTTCGATTTTAACTCGAACATACGCACTCGGATTCGATCAAGCTCAAACTTCAAAGTTCAAGTTTCGATCGAATTTGATCGAGCTTAGCGATGGATGAATAAAGAGCTACTTTTCTATGAATCAAGGACAGTAGCTGATAGAGGCGCACCAAACCCAAATTCTGTCAAATCCAAACATAAGATTCGTCTGAATTTGGGTTGAAGTTTGACCATATTTGACTTGGATTTCACTAGTGAATTGGAAACATAGGTTATCAGGGTCAAGAAATCCGACTGTATAATGAGTTTGTCGAAATTTTAAGTTCAATTTTTTCATTAAAAAAAAATGCTTTTTTCGAAAAAAGATCATGTTTTCTTCCAAACCTTTGTTTCTACATAAATGACGCCTTTACAGAAAAATTTCCCCAAAAAACTTACAAGTGAACAAAATTAATCTTAAAAGTTTGAAAAACCGATTACAAATTCGGATTTTCTAACCATTCGCCAAACCCAAGCCAATTGAGCGCGATGAAATGAAGGTCGACTCAATGTTTAGTTTTGAGCTTAAATCTCTATTGAGTTCGAACTTACAAGACCAAGCTTACAAGTTTAAGGTCAATTCGAACTCGGGTTTACAAGGGTGGGTGTGGGTGTCGGTGTCGGTGTGGGCGGATGTGGGTGTGGGTGTGAATCAGATGAAGAAGTATATTCACACTCACACACCCACACGGACACCTCATACCGACAACCACACCAGCACTCTCACCCACACCCACCACACCCACTTAATCTGAGGTAAAGAATTTCTATATTTTTTAGGTGACGTAAGAATATCTATCTATCAACTTAGTAAAACTATTATTCATGTAAAAGGAGGAACGATTTATTAAGTTGCATGAGAAGAATACTTTAAAGTAGTGGTTTCCAATTAATACAAGACGCGAAACAGGAAGGAATAGAATAAATAAAATACAAATAGGAGAGAAAAAGAGAAATGAAAGTGAAGTAAAAAAAGAATAGGGTACGACATGGAAGAAAGTAAAAGACACGGAACTGTGGAAAAAATGATTAACAGATAGAGAACATGAAAAAGCTCAATGATTAAAAAATCGAGAAAAAAAAGGGAAAAAAGACTTTTTTTTACATGTTTGAAGTTGATCGACTCATCAAAATTGACTTTTTTAGCTTTGAAACATCTGCTCAAGGTAACGATTTAACGAGTTCAAAAGTGTTTAAAAGTAAGTTATTCGTTTCAGTGAGTAACTCTAGAAAAACTGTTCCCAATAAAAACTTAAAGAACACCGTCAACCGTGATTGGATTAATAAAACTCGTAAAAACGCGTTTTTCTCATACTGAACATTAGTGCATAAGATGTATCATTTTTACTTTTTTTTTTTTTGTATTATACGACCAGTATTTCTATGAATTTTTGGAAACTTTGCAACGAAACCTATGAAATCATTACAGCAACTAGATGGTAATTCTTCATTGTCATTGAGTGTAAACAAAAATAACAACAAAGAAAGAAAACGTTCTCAGATTTGTTGCATAGTGTCTTTATTATTTTACGCTATGCTAATTAAGGGAGCTCAGAAAAGAACAATAATTGACTTGAGTCGATGAAAGATAAGAAATTAGTTGAACAAAACAAATTTTTAATTAAGTGTATGATTAAACTTAATCTTTTCCGATCAATCACACAGAGCAATTCTGCATATTATGGCAGTCATTTCACAATTAAAAGAATAAGTCAAATATCTTTATTCTCTTGCAAATAACTATTCATGTTATTTAGGGTTAACCCAAAAGTTCTGATGACGACTAAATGATCTTATTGGATAAGGTGATCTATTCAGGAATGAAAAGCTAAATATACTATGTTGTAGAGCCTTTTGAGGCGCGTCGGATGGTATATAGTAAATCCTGTTTTCATAAGACTTTGAAGGAACTAAAGTCAATTTACTGATAGAGGACTACACATCTACATCCACACCGATTTCTATTCTACCATTTTTGTCTCCTATGTCAAAACATATCCTCTATAAGATAAATTTTTTTAATTTCTTCTTATTGGTGTATGTGAAACTATTAAGGTTAATATAAACATCATATTATTAAATTAAATGATGGAAGTTTTATTAAATAATTTTGTTTTATACTTTAGAGAGTGCTTTCATATCACAAGGATAATAATTTTATTTATTTGTTATCAAAAAAATATTTGTGTTACCAATGACAAAGATCAAATTAAACTTTAATTTAATAATCTTTTGACTATGTTTATTATTGTAGATATTCAAAATAAACATACATATTTCAAGGTCTTTTACTGATAAGAATTATACTCTTTACTTTTAGGTGAGATAATAAACTATCTCGTTTATTTAAGTGAAACTTTTTTCGATTCATATCCTTGATATAGATACAATCGATTCTTGTCAGTAAGTGAAAATGAAAAAAACAAAATAGATTCGAGAATGCGAATATCATATAACATAAATGTCTTTTATCTCTTTCAAACTATATATGATGTGTCTTGTAACATACTTATAAAAATACTTGAAAGAGAAAAAGAAAATAATATCATTAAAAAACAATACTATTGATGTACTATGTAAAACTGTCGAGGCATTTTATGTTATATGTATTGTTTTGAATGATTATTTTAGGATGAAATCATTTTCAATAATTGAAAATGTAACATTATCTTTGTCCAATATTTCAACTGAAATTTATCCTTTACTTAAATCAATTCGATCAGATTGGACTCAATCAAATACGCGTTTAGTAACATTTACTGAAGGTTTAGCAAATATAATCTTAGGTCTTTTTGATACTCGAAATTCTGATGATGATTCAAATGCTTTAATTATTAAAATATATGGTGCTCAAACAGAATTATATATTGATCGACAATCAGAAATAAATACTATGAATATATTGTCTGAACAACATGTCTTTTCTCAACGTGTTCTTATTCACTTTAATAATGGAATTATTTATGAATATGTATCAGGAAAAGCATGTTCAAGAGATGATGTACGAAAAGAAAATATAGCACAATTGATTGCAATTAAACTTGCACAATTTCATAATGTACCAATTGTAAAAACTGAAAAACCTTATATTATTTTAATATTACGTAAATTTATTGAGTTACTTAATGGAAGTTCATTCGATTTGACATCTATCATATCAGATATTAATGCATTAGATGAACGTATTCTTCCTCGTCTTGTTCCAAATGCTGAATTTGGTAAAGAACTTGTATTATGTCATAATGATTTAGTTGTTAAAAATATAATTTATAATGAAAAAGATCAATCAGTATCATTTATTGATTTTGAATATGCTCATATAAATTATGCTTTATTTGATATTGCAAATCATTTTGTTGAATATGCTGGTGGTGATGATACAGATTTTAGCTTATATCCAGGTCGAGATGAACAAAAAAGATGGTTGAAAATATATTTTCAAACTCGTGGGATGCATCAACAAACTATTAATGATGATTTATGTCATCTTATTGATCAATTTTCTGCTCTTTCATTTTTAATGTGGGGGCTTTGGGGATTAGTTCAAGCACAAATATCACAAATAGATTATGATTATATTACTTATGCAAACATAAGACTTGATTATTATAAAAATTTACGATCACTTCTTTTTGAAAAAGACTAAATTAATATTATTTTTAATATTTAATTTGTTCAACATAGATTAAAATATTAACCAAATGACATTTATTTGCTGAAATCTTGAGGTATTGTTTAGAAGAATTAATATTACAACAGTTAAATACAAAGGAAATAATAAAAATTTGAGAAAAATATTACTAAGATTGATTCTACATTAAAAACTGTAGAACAATGTGCAAAAGATTACTATAATAAACCATTTAACGATAAAGATATGCTCAAATATTATTTTATATCTTTATTTAAAATAAAAATTTTGCTAAATTTAGTCATTTGATATTGTTCTTCTTGTTATAGAACCTAATGGACATATCGGAAGTCTTTTTTCTAATCATGCAGTCTTGAATATAAATGAATGATTTGTTACTTTTGTCAAAGATTCACTTAAACTACCATCATCTGAATTTATCACATTGACATTAAATACAATTAATTAAGGAAAATATAAAATTATTGTTGTTACTAGTAAAAGTAAATCAACTCATTATCAAAGAAATACTACGAGATAAAGAAAATAAAATATCCAATTGATTAAGTTATAAATCTTGTTTGGTATTTTAATAAATCAGCTGCTAAGTATTTATGAATGACTCGAGATTAATCATGCATTCCTTCGTCTATTAGATTTCGATCATTTTTATCCGAATCGATATTAACATTTAACTCATACAATAGAAAATTATATTTTTTGTAATTATTTGTTTATCTGTTTTGAATAATTAAAAGATCCATAAAGTAAAAAAGTATAAATGAGAAACAAATCTACATTTATACATAAAGCAGATCAGAAATGTTAAAGATGTTGTATTCTACATTTAGGAAATATTACGCCCAAAAGTTTTTTTTACCACGTTGCACTAACATTTAAGAACAGTTTTCTATGGTTTTATTAAATGATGAAAACTATAATAATTAATTGAAATATGCCATTCTGTAGAGCATGTTGTGGTACATCTTTTAGTGAAAAAGCTAGGAGAATCGATTGAGTAAGTACTGCGAAAAAGATAAAATAAAGACATCGCCATTTAATATGGGTCATCCGATATGTTTCTCATAAATAAGTCGAAAATAAGAGAGTATCTCTCACAATGAAAACAAAGAATAAATTTATGTACAATACAAAGATGTTAATTGGTGAAGTGCATTATATCATATAAGCATGTTCTCAACTGGAGGATATATAAATGAAAGAAAACTGTTTTGTTTTTTACAAAACTCGAATACGTTGTTGTTTTTATAGTACATTGAATGAAACCATAGAATAAACATTCTTCATCTAATAAATAACATTTATTGTTGAAAAAATATCAATATTGAAAAGTTCTCTTTTTTTGTTAAAGAATATTTTCATCAATTTATTACTGAATGAGTCATTGTTTAAGAAAAAGAACTTATTTCTTTTAATTTATTGTGTTTGACACTCTCGAGGACAAATGAATACAACAATTAAGTATCAAATTATTAATTTACATAAAAACAGAGTGGAAAAAAAATTTGTCATATATCTCCATCGACTGGTACACACATCCCATGGATGATATAAGTTGAGAAAACAATCGAAATCCATTAATTCATTCATCTTTAACAAAGATATATGAAAATCAAATTTTTTTTTGAATAAGATACATAACTTGTTAACATCTTGAGCCGACACAATAATATCTACCTAGTATTTCTTTATTATTTGTTTTAAATATGTTAGTATAACTATTCTATTATCATTGTTTTATCGACACTATTGTCAGTGTTTTTCAAAGATTCCATCATAGAGATATAAATTCAGAAATTTTCTAGACACTCGTTCTTAACAGTGCTTCTTCTATTGTTTCATATAAAAATTAGTAATCAGATCCAACTTGTATTATTCGTTTAAAATCTTACTGTAAATTAGTTCGATCGACTAATAGTGACTGTTTCGAGTAGTGTACAATCAACAACAACAGCACTGTTAGAAGAGATCGCTAAAGTTAGGTCTTTTAATAATCTCAAGTAATCCATTGTTAAAAAGGATGTGGATGTGGATGGAAGAAGAACAGACACCCATACCCTATAAGGACTAATATTGTTTTATTTATATGAAAATACATGAATCTAGTTAGTGAATCATCATATATAATTATTTAGATAAAAATTAAAATTATCATCCTATTTTCAACCATGCCAATTGATGATGACTGTTTTTGCATTTCTAAAAACATAATTAGCTAAAACATGAAGAAATTAACGACACTCACATTCTCCTCGTGACCAACCGTAGCATCTAGTTGTAAATTTTTATTGAGTGTTCTCCTTCATGGAAAATATGTGAATTCCACATTTCAGCTGTAAAAAGACTGCGCTAACAAGCTTTTTCCCCGGCAATCTAAAAAAATTGAACTCTTTTTCACAGTTACAGTACAATGACGAAAGCGATAATTAAAAATATTTTCTTATGTAAGAGATGTAATCGTTTTCAATAAACTGGCATGCTAAAATTCACAAACTGTGCTTGGATTTCATATTAATAATGTCATTGTATCGAAAAGAATGAAATTTTTTAAATAGTTCTTTATTTGAGCTTTACATATATCAAGATATTTCAATCCCGTTTATATATAAATATATGTATAAATGCACTAAACACAAGAAAATCACAAATAGAAAATAGTTTCAGAAAGTCACTAATATTAACAAAAAAGAGAATTAAATGTTCATATGGAGAATGTTTTAGTCTATGATCAGCTTCAGTCTATTATCTAAGTGAACATATTGTTACTTGATTTAGTACAACATCAGATCCTGCATGTCCACTGACAAGAGGATGAGCAGTACCACCAGATGATTTAAACATGATCTTGTCGACGTCTTCCCAATAAAGAAGAATAAATTGTAGCTTACCAAAGAGAAGTTTTGTTGTATGTGTATTAATCTCTATGAAATTTCGATGTCCTGTTATGGTTAATTCAAGATCATCCTTCCACGCAGCACATGCAGTAACAGAAACAAAAGTAAATTTTTTATTTGGACTTCCGACAGTAATCAATGCACTATCTTTGAAATATGCTATGTTTGGACTGCTGCCAGGTATGAGAGAAGTAATATATCCACTTTTTGGATGCATTTTCTTCCAGTACAATTCGTTTGCATAATATATATACGTCCAATTTAGTCCGTTATAAATATTCGAAATCCATTTTGTTCCAGTAATAGCCTCTGGTAAATCGTTAAATGTGACTTTCGTTTTTTTTATCATTGGTTCTAAACTCATTATTCTTTCATAATCTGTATTAATAATTAAATGCAATTATTCACTTACTCAATATACGTGTTTCCTTTAATTGATGATCGAGTTTCTTTATTTTATATTTATTATGTTTAGATTCATGTCGAAGATATTGAAGTTGTTTTTTCAAACAGATAATATCTGTATGTTTTCTATCAGTATCATTTCTTTTGTACACGAGTTTACAATCTTGACAAGTTAATTCAATCGATGGACATTGATTATGATGATTATCAAAATCTTTTTTGAATATTTGTGATTTACAACCAGGACATTGCTGAAACTGAAAACCACATTCTATTTCATGTTTATCTAAACCTTCATAGGAAATGACCTATGAAAAAAAAAAGTATAGAGTTGAAAATGTGATCAATCTCTAAATACTTGGTTGCAACCATTCGATTCATAGAAACAAGCAATTTGTATTTCGGCAAGTAGCTTAGTAACAATGGGAGGACATTTTCGTTCAATATATGTTTGGCATCGATTTGGACATTGTTTAGGATTGTTGGCCAACCATTGATAAATACATGATGAACAAAAAGGTATTTCACATGATTTGCAAGCTACTGGTTTCCAGAGTAATTGATGACAAATCAAACATTCAAGATGAGTGACGTCGACCTTAGGTGAACCACGAATACGATCAGATGATAAGCCATGCTGTTGAGAAGAGGTCATCTAAAGAAAGAAAGTAGTAAGAGACAAATGTACCATTATAATTATTACATAAACAGTCTGTTATATAGTGTCAAAGATACCAGTGAATTCTCGATATTTACACAAAATTACACCAATGTGATCATTATAAGTATTTTTTTTTCTTGTGCTAAATATGAATCAGGATCTTTTCTTTTTCTTTACTCAAGCTACGATTACAAAGGAAGTTTGGCATTAAAATACTGTTGTAATATCTGCCGGAGTATTTTTAGTGCTACATCAAATACTTTATTCAATCAATCATATCGTAATTTAGCATGTCTTTCAGGAAACTCAACTAATAATATTTGCATTTTCATCAGATTTAAAATCAACTAATGCTATACGAAAAGACACTTGCTATTTCTTCATAACTACTTAGTATGTATTACAGCTATTTAATTATTTATTTGTTGGCAATGTTTAACTGTCTAACTACTTAATTCTAAGCGCTACTTCATCTATATTCATAGCTATTTGATTTCGAACACTGCTTAATCAAAATTTATTACTATGTATTAATTATTTATAACTAATTAATATTTATTTTTTCTTCCTGTTTTCAATGAAATAGCTTTTCAATCTCAGCTACTGCTGAACAATTTTTAGCAAAGCTTAATAAATACTCATATGTTCTGACTGAAATGTTTTGAGGTAAGGTCGAAAAAAACAAAAACTCGTCAAGAAAAATTTGCTATTCTATAACGATAGTGAAGAAATAAGCTAAAAGAATAGTATTCGAAAAAATATCTCTTATGAGAAGCTACAATTTTCAACATATCCTATATAATTTACTGATCACTAAAAATCATTTCTATTGTTATATTATATCTCTTAAACATCAAATGAAATTGAATCCATATAAAAAAAAAAGAATTTTTGTTTTTTTTCCACTATTTTCATGACATATTTCAATTGTCTAATCTTATCATGATCTTATTAGAAGAGTGTTCTAGCTAATAATTTTAACCTATTTTTTGTAAGACAAAAAGAATATTTTATATATGATGCATTCGATTTCATCAAATTCTTATATGCACTACAGTGCTTTCTAAACTAGAATTGATATAATTTTGTTTCACTTGAAACCTATCAATTATTAAGTGATTTAAATAAAAAACAATAGCCTATTCTAACTTAAATAAGCGATCCGAGGAGTTTTTTTCAATTTAAATGAAACAACGTCATCAGTACGATTTTATATTAATGTTACACGTACAGAATCGAAATAACTAGTCTATATCGAAATAATCAATAAATGTAATACATATTTCGCATACACAACTCATATATACTTTTTCATTTATACCAATCGTTTGTGTAAATTTCTTGTCAATAAGCTGAAATTGTTTAAAACAGACTTGAAGCATATCGCACTATTTTATATATATGTTAGCGTCCAATGTCGGATTCAGTCCAATCTCGGATTGGCCTAGGCGAATTGTGGATACTTACATTGGACTAGTCCAATATCGGATTGATGCAATTCGGTGCACTACAATATCCATTACTCTTGAGATAGATGTTGGATTCGAATTATTTTTTTGAAATTATGTTCGTACAATGCCGTTTTAAATATTGCAGGCGTTCAGGCAGAAGTCAAATTTAGACTGAAGAACTTAATAACAACTTTTCATAAAATTTGTTGTTCTGTAGAAATTTATTCATAAGTCCTAAACTTTAACTTAAATCTGTCCAACGACGATTGTGATAAACAAATTAACATTATATGAACATAATTTCAAAAAGTAATTCGAATCCAACATCTATCTCAAGAGTAATTGATATTTTAGTGAACGGAATTGCGTCAATCCGATATTGGACTAGTCCAATGTAAGCATCCACGATTCGCCTAGCCAATCCGAGATTGGACTGAATCCGACATTGGACGCTAACATATATCTAATCTAGTTATAAGATATAATTTTCAAATATTATTCTGAATAATTTTTGAAGTTTTGTTCATCTAAATCAAATTATGATAAAAGATGAACCATACTAATGTCCATTTCAGAGATAAATGGGCGTGGGTATTTTTCGAATAACTTTTGATAGGAATGAGATAGAGAGCTGCGATTTTCACCGTTGAAAAGAGTAGATGAAAATACATCGAACCATATATAGAGAGATTTTTCGAAACGACTTTCCTGAAGGTTTTACGTAAAACTTCAAGAAAACAGCATGCCTCTCATGATTGCGATATTAATTTATTGACTTTCAGGAGTGTGCTAGAACCGCCAAATGAAGAGCTACAAAAAACTATGGAAAGGCTCTATTCCTAACTACTACCAATACGATATTCTAGCCATTGGAGTGCAATTCACCACCCAGTTTTTGAACAAAATAGTCGAAAAAAGGAGGTTTTTTTGTGATATTTCGATAGAAAAATCAAGTTTTTCACGTAGGAGAAAAACGCAATTCTTTGAAAACGTTTGACTAAAACCTTCAGGAAAGTCGTTAGAAAAATCTTTCTATACATGGTTCGATGCATTTTCATCTGCTCTTTCCAACGGTGAAAACCACAGCTCTCTATCTCATTTCTATCAAAAGCTATTCGAAAAATATCCATGGCCATTTATCTCTGAAATGGACATTAGTAAATTACATAATGAATTTATTCAAAAGAAAACTCAAGTGTCTAAACTGTTCAATATTAAGAGATCGGTTTTTCCTACTATCTTTGCGTTTATAGTATATGTACAATAACAATAATTTACATTCTTTTGTTTTTCGTTTTCGATCAATGTTCTTTGTTTTAAGACAAAGATTATTATGAACCAATAGAGATCAACCAATCGGATAATTTAGATAACAGAGAAACAAAATATGATAATAGAAAAGAAAAGAAGTTCAATGATCGTTCGGTTGTAAAAAAAAAAAGTATATATATAAAGACAATCATAAAGTTCATTCATAAAACATAGATGTATGTTTCCCTTAAAAGTCATCATTTTGAAGAAATTATCTAAAGTAAAATTGACAACAGCTCAATGACAATTATGTTGAAACTTTAATTAAATAGCTAGTAATGCATTTCTTTATATAATATTACTAGTGAGCATAGATATGTATGTCATTTGATCAATTTTGTATTGATACTCATACAATAGTTAGACTCATTGAGGATACTTCTTAAAAAGTAAAATAAATCAACAAGTTTATATACGTAAACGTTCTTTATTACTACTATTGTCAATAACATCGTGTCAACTCGAAAACTGTTTGTTTACAGAATTTCATAAAAGAGAATGAGTTTTGTATTAACTCTTAGATTACCCATTTCAACAGTCAGGCTCTAAATTCAAGATATCAATTTGATTCTGCACCGTTGTTAATGCAATGTCGTATATTAGTTTATTTAAAATTAGAGTGCTTTGAAGAATAATTAGTACGAAATTTTGTTTTTAAACATTTCTCAAGTGAATATTTGATTGATCTCATTTTTATTTTAATAAAGTTGTTGCTAAATTAGCAAGTGTTTATGAAAATAATAAATGTTCTCTTTTTATCTGATGTTTTATTTTTTCTTTTGAAAAACTGCTGTCAAACCAAAATGATCTGATGGAAAAATTTGATTTTGTTCTTGATTTCCTACAATTTGAATTTGAATAGGAATCAATGTTTGACTATGTAAAATAATTCGATCATATCTTGCTTGTTTTGGTATTGTATAATGAGGTTTTATCATTAAATTTGTTTCTGTATCAAATGTAAAACCATGATTATGAGTACCCATTAAGAAAGTCCAAACATCAATCCATTGTGGTAGTCTATTAAATTGATCAATATTTTCTTGATTATCTGCAGAAAAATTAAAATCTCCCATTAAAATAGAACTACCGGGATAATGAATTAATGCATTTCGACAAATATCTAATTGACATAATCGTTGTTGTTTATTATCTAAAGATTCTAAATGAACAGTACCAATACGGAGTATTTCATTTTGATCTAATTTAATTTCTGCAAATATTAAACGACGATCCATCATTGACTGTGGAAAATCAATTAAATTTAAATTCGAAATATTAAGACGTTTGTCAATTAATAAGATAACACCATACGAATTATTGAATGTACGACCATCAATATCGGATATATAATATCGTTCTTGAACAAATGTTTGAACTAAAAGTTGTTTAAGAATATTTTTTGTCACTATAAATATATATATAGAAATCAAACGTATTTTTTTTTAACTACAATTAGAATAAGAAAATGAAAAACAAAACTAACTTTCTTGTAAACCAATAACTTGTGCTTCAGATTTATTTAATATGTCACAAAGACTGTTAAAACGCATAGGTTGATAGTTTTTCGAAAACCATATATTATATGTAAGAACGCGAAAATTTTCCCAATAATTTGTTTGTTTATTTTGATAGTGTGGTTTTTGTGACCATGTATATCTTTCATTATTATATTCCCATAATGGAATTGAAAATTCTTCTTTGTGCTTGTTATTATTCGTATGACTATATAATTGTCGTGTTAACATTGAACAAGATATAATTACTTTTTTCTGGATCAATGTTGAGATTGTTTTTCGAGAAGAGAAAAGAAAAGTTTGACTAAAAACACTTCTAATTGTTCTCATCTTCAGATGAATTGTGACAGCTTTTGCTTGTGATTGAAACAAAAAGAGAAGAAAAAAAAAACAAAAATATGTTGTGTGTTAAATTGCCTACGAATGTATCATCTTCTTCTTTATTGGAGCAGAGAGAAAATATGCGTTAAACCAATACACTTTTTTCCTGTTCTTTTTAAAATTAAATTAAAAAAAAAGTACAATATTTTCTTTTGTTATTGTTATTTCTCATGTATTACTTTGGCAGGAAACATTCAAATATTAATAGTTTATTTTTTCGTCTTAAGTTAATCGAAAATATAGCATTGTTCAGGAAATTTATTGAATAAATTCTATATTTCATTAACAAATAGAATAAAAAAAGCACCAGTCCAATTGAAAGATGCATTATGAAGACTCTACTGAATCAAGTCTCATTTGATTCTCTTCTAGTTTTTACTTTAGTTAGACATAAATTTTTTTTTTGTAATCGGTCTTGAAATTACTATTAATAAACTGAATTTCAAAGTTTATATTTTAGTATTGTTCTATTCTGTGAACTTTGTACTTCTGAATGCAATGTTTCATTTATTTATTTGAAGGTGCGAGAGACTCCTATAGATTGTTCTAGAAAGTTTTCGTTGTATTTTGCAATCAATACAAAGCCTAGAGAAGCACACTTATATAAACTCTATTTCTTGTCTCTAAAAAGATTTCACCAACGACGTAGTCATTAAGTAGCGCAATAGCTGATGATGGAACGATGCATTCAACAGAAAATTTTTAATGTGACATGAAATTTCATTTGTTCGAATTTTTACAAAATTAGATTTAAATTGAATTTCTATTTTCAAGAAAATCTACACTTCTTATTTCGGATTCTATGTAAAGCGTTTTACTTTGAAACTCAAAGTAATTTACGTACGCCTTAGGTCCAGATAATATTCAATCTTTCATTTGTGGCACATCATGAGATAAACTCATTGTCGCGGTCGGTATCTTGCAAAGCTTCACATATAATTCATACGATGTTAATACAAAGTTTTGCGTTCCATTGATGACTACAAAGTATTCTTATCTGAATTTTGTTCCTTGTTTGTAAAACATGACTGGTTTTTATTAGTTTTCAAGTATATATTACAAGTAATGCGGAACGTTCTTCTGTTGATAGACAACTTTCTCCTTGGCAACATCCATATTCTAATGCTGTGCTTGACAAGAGAAGTAGGCTTGTTTTAAATTTTAATCAATATAAGGTTTGAGATAAATTTTTTAAAGAATCTGATGTTTTCAGAAAGTTCGTACACTTGACTTGTGTTATTGTGGGAGATCCATGAGTCAATGGGTAAAACAGCTGGTTTTGATCATTCCATGATGCTTCGTGGAATGATGAATTATTTAATAATGACATTGCCATCTCTAGTTGATTCATTGTTTAACTGACTTCTTCGACATAATTTAATGGACATATTGTCTGACTATGATCTTTCGATGATGAAACCATTGTTTTAACATAGCTGCTTGTTAATGAATTGATCTGCTGCATTTGTGCAAATAAGTTCTTTATTGTTTCGACGTGTGGAGATACTTTTTTTCACCAACAGAATATGGATTTATTAGTATGTAAATTAGTAAATGTCATTAGAATTACACGTTTTCTGATGTGAATTACTTTAGGTTTGTATTTTTTCGATGCCTTTATGCAAAATTTGTTGCTTTGTTTGCTTTTCATTACGAATAACTTGTCGATGAGTCAATGCAAAATATAATGAGATTTCGCTATAGAAACATGAAAAAGTTTTCGAAAAAGAACAGTGGCTTCTTTTTTATTATCCTGTTCGAATGAAAAAAAAAAGATTGTTGATTTCATCGAAATATATTTCTATTTCACGAGATGATAGTAACAAGAGATTAGAGAGCGTCGATCGCTATAAAAAAAGAGAATCAGGGAATAGATACAAGGCGTGAATTTTAGTTTAAGTCTGAGATTTTTGATTAATCGATCCTGAATTTTTTGTACCCATAATCACACTCTTACCGAATATCGGATCGAGAATGATACTGCAACAAATAAAAATGCTAGATGAATATCTGACTGTAGGTAGAAACCAATGAGTATGACATAATTTTGAATAAAACGAAGCTATCAAACATATCTTAAATATCAACCAAACACTGAGGTCGCTATTTATTCCGAACCAACTGTTACAATATTCATAGGAAATAAAAGTAGTGAAACATAAGAGCAAGAAGAGTACATGAGAGAAATTTTTTTTAACTATTAATAATATTCAAACAAAAGTAGTCGAAATATTATCTAGAATATGCAAGCATCCAGGATATAAACAGAACTAGTTTGAGAGTGATGTGAACACAAGAGTCACATCCACTTCAATGGAGTTAATTAATTATATTTCGTCTAATATAGTCTTTAAAAGATGTGTTTTATGATATTTCATCAAGATGACCGGAATTCATGTTAATGGAAAAATCGACTATCTCCTTATTATATCCAAATTGAATGTCAATTCGAGGTGCTCATTGTTTAGAATATATAAGGATGGGGATGTGAGTAGGATGTAGTTAGTCTTTTCATCTATACTTGCATTTATACTCACACCACTTATATTCCACATCCACACTAACCCATACCCCTTTTCTAAGTTGATTAAAAAAGCAATACTTATGACAGCTTTTTTAATCAAATTAGAAATGAAACAAATAGCAAAATGCATCAATATTGGCGACAGTTTGAACTTAACATGGGCTTCCGAAAAATTGGTCGAAAAATTAGCCTTTAAAACTTTTTTAATAAGACGGAGTGAGGCGATGGCAGGGAGACTTTTTAGCTGCCCCGTCTATCTCTGAAATGTAGATCAATCTTATCAAGATCATGCTAACAGCTCTTGGTTTTTAGTATCGATTTTCAATATTTAATGGTAGTAAAGTAGTATCACGATGTGATGATAATATGGGAAAGATTAATGTCAATTGACTAAAATTAATACAAAGTAAAATTTCTTTTAATCTTTTTTTTCCTCTAGGTAAACCATTATCCAAATTTTAAGTATATGTTGGCTTGGGTTAGAATTACCATCGATATCAAATCTACGCACGACTCGAAAATCATTTTTCTTCAGAAAAATCGATTCAAATTAAGTAGTCGTATGTAATTAATTGTCACTTCATGTTCTTTTTTAAAAATATTATTTCTTCTTGATATAATTCAACAAATATCAACTTTTTTCGTTTCTAAAATGTGTCTGTTGATTGACAAATTTTTTTCTTTTTTGTTATTCTTCTCTCTCTTTCTGTCTCTGTCTATTTATAAAACAGCGAATGCTTTCATTATTTGTTTTTTTGTCAATATGCATATCAATGTGTAAATAGTATATGAAATGAAAACATGAGAAAAAAAGATATCCTTCCTTTTTTGGATACATGCACAAGAGATTTTGACTAAATTGTAATGTGTTTCACGTCTGTTTTTTTTTCTTTACTTTATGTATGTGCATGTGTGGTTTGATCGTATTTTGTTGTCGATATAAAATATAATGGAAAAGGTCTGTATTTGTAAATAAATGTTTACAACGGCAGTAAAGCATGCGGCAATAAATCCTGTAATCCAATGAAAGGACACTAGTCCTATATTAATAGAAGATAAGAAATAAAAAAAAAACGAGAGAAAGAGACTTTGAACGATCATCTCTATGTAATGGTATTATGATGGTTTCGACCAAGGTTTATTTGTATCGAGTATATGAGCAATGGATGACAAAGCATCGGATTGATCATCATAAGGTTCCATAAGTGTTGGCATTATTAGTGGTATAAATGTTTTATTATTTGGAATTTTTTCATAACCCTTATCATCATCATCATCATCATCATCACCACCATTATTATCATCAGATTCGTCGTTTAAACCAAGTAAAAAATGAACATGAGTTTTTTCAGTTGTTAATTTAAGAAATGGTTCGTTTTCATTCGAACTATTCTCGATGTTATTTGATTCAATTGTTGGTTCACTAATAACAATAGCTGATGATGGTATAATATGTTTTTTAAGTTTATTCATTTCTTGATTTACATGACCATTCATTCTTGTAGTTTTTTGTTCAATTATTGTATCCATTAGATTCATTGATTGTCGTACAAGACTAACTGATGAAAGGGTCGAACGAAGTCTTTGTGTTGTATTAATTAAATGTTGATGAACAATATGAGCTAAACGACGTTTTCGTACAATAAATAAAACTTGTAAAACAATAAGTAAACCAAGAATAATTGAATATTGTGTTAAAACAAATATAAGACCATGTGCTGAATCATTTAAATGATCATGCATTATATTTAGACACATGAATAAATCTGGCATTTGTGTTGATACATTTAGTTGATAATAAAATATACATATAACATATTTTTCTTTTGGATTTAATCGCAGTAATAATAATGAATTTGAAAAATATTTATCATTTCCTGATGCTGTACTTTCTAAAATTAATTGTTTCATTGGGAGAACTGTTGTGTTTGTTTTATATTCTTGTACAGTAAAACGAAAAAATTTTAATGAATAAATTGATTGGAATGTACGTGTTGTCAGGGATAACATCATTGGAAATCTATTTATTTTATTATCAGTGGTATTGGAAAATTTCTTTTCATGTGTTACTGTCGCTAATGAAAATAGAGAAAATACTACACGAATAGTTTCTTTATCAATAAATATCCAATTTGCGTCACATTGTGCTCCATAATGAAATTCTTTTCGAGATATATTTGATTCTTGACCTAAATGTTCGGAATAATTATTATCAAAGAATGCTTGTTGTTGAACTTTCTGAGAGGCTTCATTTTCAGGTAATACAGCCCTGGAGTAAAGCACCCGTCTCCCCCTCGACCTCTTATTATTTCCTATGATATTGGGCTAATATTTTGAATACAGACTGATCTTAGTGAATCCTCATCACAAGTACCACCCCGACTTCAATCGATTGACCGATACTCAAGTTATTAGTTCAACACCATTATCACAGTGTTTAAGTCATACCACGGTCATCTTTTGATATAAGTGTTCGCACAACCTACCATTAGTGAGATTTATGACGCAGCTCTCTGTATTTAAAATTTGACAAAAAAATCATACAGAAAACAAACAGAAATCTGAAGTTCGCATTGAAAGCTTCCACCAGTTAGTTAACCATAGTTTCTGATCTGGCGTTAATAACTTCAGTTTAACTCAGTCAATCCAGTTGAAAATCTTAGCAATATGTTCTCATGAGCACATGGGTCTTTGGTGAAATTTTCAGAAGTCTAGCTCAATATAGAGCTAAGAAAGAGCTCATCTCTGTATAGTTTGTCAATTCATGGAATTGCGCTGTTATGCAACGAGGTTTGGCCCTAAAAAACTAGGTATACTGGGCTGCAATTAAGGTATGGATGCGGTCAATGTGAAGAAGAACACATCCACATTCACACCCAAAACACCGAAATAAATTATATTTTTCTTTCGTACGGTGCAAAGTAAAATTAAGAATGTCCTTGTTATGCGAAAAGTAACGACTACAAAAATCACAAGTAATCTAAGAATTCTCTGATCTTTTGTTTGAGTAAAATCTTATGAAGTTTTCACATCTAAAGAGCTTCTTGTATCAGACAACTTTCATGAGCATGATCCATTTTGGCACTGAATATTTTTAAAAATTCTTTTAATTGATATTTAACGACAGTTTAGTTTTTCGAATGAAATTATAAACTATAAAGGAATTTATCAATAGCTTGCAAAAAATTCAGCACCGAGAAATAGTACCACTTGCATAAGGGTAAGAGTTGTGTAAAGGTGTAAACTAAGTTATAAAAAATTAACTTATTCATTGTAGCTTTTGGAAAGCACGATTTGTGTTAATAGTCGCCAGTATGGACGCTTTCGACGTTAAAAATGTTAAGAATTCTTTTTTAAATTCATATGAAGATATTTTCGTCGTTGAAAAACGAGAGACGAAATCGAGAATTTTTTAATTGTGTAAGATACTCTTGAATAGAAAATCTTTCTTGTACCAGAAGTTGCGTAAAAATAAGAGTAATCCGGTGGAAAGAAAAATGTACATGCGTCCTCTCATCTTAATCAACTCAGAACTTCTCTCTGCAACTTGCTTCTTTCCACTCACTTCTTACATTGTACGTCTCGAAGTGAGTCTCTCACCTTTGTTAATATGTTTTCTTCATATGAGAATACACAGGAAAAACTTAAGATTATATCGCTGTTTTAACTACACACTACCCGAAACAAAAAGCTTTTACACTCTCTTTCAATAGCTTCAAGGGCAATGACACTGTTGGTTTTCATCACCCTCAACAAAAATGGTCAGGGCAGCTGAGTTTTCCTACAAATTTTTTTTATCCACGTCACTAGCATGCATAGATAAACTGTTGGTGATAGGTTGAAGAAATGAAAGGGAAATACGATCTCTAAAAAAAAAAACATTTGTTTACCGTTTCGTCTCCGTAAATTTATTTTCGATATTTTTTTGCGCTAATTGCAGCCCACTATACCTATTTTCTTAGGTCCAAGCCTCGTTGCATAACAGCGCAATTCCATGAATTGACAAACTGTACAGAGATGAGCTCTTTCTTAGCTCTATATTGAGCTAGACTTCTGAAAATTTCACCAGAGACTCATGTGCTCATGAGAACATATTGCTAAGATTTTCAACTGGATTGACTGAGTTGAACTGAAGTTATTAACGCCAGATCAGAAACTATGGTTAACTAATTGGTGGAAGTTTTCAATGCAAACTTCAGATCTCTGTTGTTACTGTATGATTTCTTGTCAAATTTTTAATATAGAGCAGAGCTGCGTCATAAATCTCAGTAATGATAGGTTGTGCGAACACTTATATTAAAAGATGACTGTAGTATGATTTAAACAATGTGATAATGGTGTTGAACTAATAACTTGAGTATCTGTCAATCGATTGAAGTAGGAGTGGTGCTCGTAATGAGAGTTCACTGAGACCAGTCCGTATTTAAAATATTAACCTAATACCATAAGAAATGGTAAAAGTTCTAGAGGGGCTGACAATTCTATCCAGGGCTGCATTGATCATGAATTACTTTGTAATATTATGGTTAATGAAGAATTTGTATCAAGAATCTAAGAAAGAATATAATTATTTTTGTTTTATTATTTATTCTCTTTTCTTACTTGTTCAAAAGAAGAATTTATATTAAGATCGAATATTAGTGGTGTTATTGTTGTCGTCGTTGTTATTAGGATTCGTTCTATAACATTCGCTTCACTTAACAATGTAAACAGAAGAAATAACGAATATTTCATAATGAACATCTTCAATATATAGATACATATTCTATAATACAATAAAGTAAAGACTTTTTTTTATAACTCTCAGAGGAATGCAAATAAGTTGAAAACGTTCAAATCTGAAATGATGGATCAAAATGGTTTATTTAGAGGATGTAGATTTGTTCGTACCAAACGGACCACAAAAAAACAAAATATAAGTAAAGGGACACACAGGTATATGATGAGTAGGATAGAAAAAAAATGATCGAAAATGAATGTGTTCGTCGATAGATACAATAAGAGAAAACGAGCAGAAATATTTGATGTGAAGATGTACATACTAACACGATGACATGCTTTTACATGCCTCTTTCGGAATGAAAAAGAAGGTCAAAGGGTCATTCATAGAATAGATTCAGATAAAAAGAAAGGAGAAGAAGATTTAGACAATAGGACAATTACGATAAATATTTTCCTTTTTTTATCATACAAATTTTCGAAATATTTTGAAAAGAATATTTTTTTTAAATTGGAAATGAAGTGAAAGAATCAGATGAATATGTATATGATGTTGCAATAATTGAAAATTATGTAACGTGTACAGATGGTCATTTTGTCAAGTAGTTAAATGAACGTTGATATATTTTCGGGTGTCATTTTTATTTATTGTCAATGAAATATGAGTTCACTCAATTCTTTTTTTTTTACATATTTATTTAATGAAGTGTTATTTAATTAAAAAACAAAGCAGGATGTTTCCGAAAGCTTTTTTTTTATACCTGGCATCTAGGAGAAAAAAAGGACCAATGAAACTGGACAAGTCCAAACAGATGGTAGGGCAAAATAGAAAACATTGATCTCTTAATTCCTATCGCTGGAAATCAGTCTTTATTTGTTCGTCGTGAGCCAGTAAGAGTCATCGAAAATGCTTAGAAATTAAGGAAAGTTACGACAAATTATTTGATATCAACAGTAATTATGTCTTTATCTTTAGCCTTGTTATAAAAGATTTTCTATGATTAGGAAGGATTTCCATCCATTTCTGATGATTTCCAAGAACTTTTAATCACTTCCAATCATAATTCATGTTCTTCAAGTGTTGTAATAATTTCCAGCATAAAGATTAGTTTGTTCCCTCTTAGAAAAAGGAGAGTAATCAAAAAATACGATTTTGACCTGAACATCCTTTGTGCATGACTATCAAAAAAGGAGCAATTGAGGCTATCGAGTTGTTCAATTTTCAAATAGACCGAGGGCAATACATTGTCGATAGTAAATTGTCTGCCCAATAGTGATTAATATTGTCCGATCAATTCTGTTCTAAACATGATTTACGACAACTTATGCTTTTTGTCATACAATATAAATTTCGTTCTAAATAATTGATAACAGTAATACTCCAAAGATCAATAAACAAATTGATATGTACCAATATATCAGGCTCATCGACAACGAATGATAAAAACTTTTGTGACTTGATAGCATATCTTCTAAAATTTATTATTTTGTATAGATGTTTAAAAGAGCTTTGTTCATCATCAGAAAGTTCGAACATAAATATCATCTATATGTGATAGAAAAGTATTTTCGAGAATTTGTCTTAATTTATTTTTGAAATGTTTCTTCTAATTCTGTCGTTCATTATTCCACGCTCAAATATCATCTTAATGATCGAACGTTTTCTCCAGATTTTCGTAAAAACCTTCAACAATAAGATAAAAATTTATTCGATTATATTCTCATTCTGCTTTATTTCTTCTCGGTATTTAAAACCAGAAATAAATAATCATGACCCACATAAATATATTGTATTAAAGAAAGAATGTATTTTATCACAAAACATAATCTATCATTCTTTACTTCTGCACTTGATATACGTACCTATTCTAAACACCGACAAATGGTAATACATAAATGAAAACTATAAAGATATTTTTGCTATTCTTCAAACTTCTTTTCAATAATATCTATACGAAATTTGATAAAAAAAAAAACTTGTCGGTGCAACCCATTTGGTACTCAAATATGGAATTCACAAATCTTCTTTAGCTCAATGAAAGAAATACAAAATACAAAAAATATGAAATTAAGAATTTTTTATTTGCTTTTCTGATAGATGCTCTATTTTTCATTTTCATTGTTGCTATTCACTCATTATTTTTCGTTTTTTTAATTCGTGCTTTTTCAATTTAACATTCTTATTATTATAATCATTGAGTTCATCGGCAAATAAGTCTATTTTTCATATCTATGATAGCTATGGCAGATTCTACGCACTATTATAAATTAATCAACTTATAAACAATGGTGTCAACTGTTTTTTAAAATTATAACGTGATCAATTTTGCAACAAACTCTAGAACGTTTAAGACGTACTATTCTTGATTGCTAAAGTCTGTAATGAAAAGGAGAAGGATACCCTAGTTACTAAGATCTCTAATGGGGAATACCCCGGGCATTAAGGTCTGTAAGAGTGCATGTTTATAATGCTGAGGGTGATCATCGTTGCTAAGTGTCTGTAATGGAAGGGGAAGGGGAGGGTAGGAGCAGTGGAAAAATCTCGACTTAAAGCTTAAACTCACTATTTTTTTCGAAAATATATGTGAGTTCTATAAAAGACTGTTGATATTATCCACGGATAATAACACTGGTGCATAATTAATTATTGTAATTTTCTTAAACTATAGCTATTAGGAAATTTGTTGAGTAGCCTATTTGTTTTACACTATATTTTCTTTGTATATTCTATTTCGAATATTTGAGACTTTATTAATCGCTTTTTTTTGAGAAGGTAGATATCTCATTTGCAAATACATTATACGAGATGGTAATTAAGTTGATTTTTTGTTAGTATCATTGCTCAATACGAAATGAAGAACAAGAGAAACGTCAGAGTTTCAACAATTCTCAAAGAACAGAGAAAATTGATAAAGAATAAACAAAATATTGTAAATGAGAATAAAGACAACAATCTGATCAACTTATCAAAAGATTAAAGTATTGAAAGAATATTTAAAAATAATTTGACTCGTTTTTTCTTGAACATTCAAAAGAATGAGAACTCAAACTCAAAATATTAATTCAAACAGTTGTCTCATATTCAAACATAAATATTTTATTCGTGATACTATGTACAAAAATACCACTATCGAATGATTCCACGCTCATCTCATTAAAAAAAACCTTCATTTCCAATCTAATTTAACATTGAATAAATGTTACTTAAATATTTGAAATGAATATGAAATAAAAGAGTTCATCTGTATCATCAATATGAAGATAGTATAACCAATTTCGATCAATCATAAATGTTTTACACTTGTGTTGTCGAGATCAGGTGAGACTGAGAATGTCTCAGTAAGTGCTGCCGAATATGTTCACTCAGGTGTGGGTATGGGTGTGTATCCTCGTACCATCTGCATCCACGTCTTGCAAGTCGATGAAAGTGAATATTGAAATAACAATTGAAAAGAATTATTTCAGTCATATTTAAATCAAAATAGTAAGAGATAAACAACGACTATCCTAGTGAAATTTCAATAATAAAACAAAAAAAAATTGAAATATAATGTCACAATATGTTTCTTTTTTGTTCTTTTTTAATTTTATATTAGAAACAAACATATGATTTAAAGTACATTTTGGTTAAAAAATATATTATTTATAATCATTTCATAAACGAATAATTTAAATTATAACTAAAATTTAACATTAATCTCTTTAAAAAAGTAATGCATACAATCTGATAAAAATGAAGAAAAAACATTCAAAGTAATCTATTATTTTTATGTTTGTTTCACCAAGGATACTGGGGTGATGGTTAGAGCGTTACGAAAGAAAAGATTCAAACTCAGATCTACACTCACCCACACCTACTAACTGCTTCATTTTGCACAGCACTGATTGTCAGCCTAAAAAAGTGGCGTCCGAACGCAAAACAGTGCACTAGAAACATTTTATTTCTGTGCAGATTGATCAGTTCGAAAAAGAAAAGATTCATGAAATACAAGAGTTTTAGTTTTAGTTTCCGTTTCGAATCATTACGTTTTGATGAACTGATGCAATTTGTTTTTAGCAAAATCATATGACAATAGATTCGAAATCCTTTCATACAATTGGTTCAATCTCTTGCATAATGTAGAAGAAAAGAAATTGTACTATTGTCAATATGATCATAAAATTTGTGCCGTTGAATTCATGACGATCAGAGTCAATGTGTGAAATGTCAATGCGATTGGACACGTAAAATCGATCACTCCCAGTTAGTTTGACGTACTATTTTTTCTTTGACTTACGAGTTGTCGACTATGAATTACAGAGTTTACTGAGTCAAGTATTGATGAACTCATTCGTCTTCGTGGATGAACAATCGTTTCATTTAGGCGCGAGTCGTTGCAGATGTGAGTGTGGGTGTTGACCTTATCTTTATCGTTGTATCACACCCTTACATTATGAAACAATGATATAGAATAAAGTCATTCTCACTTCCTGAGATACATTTAGTACAATGCTGCTTCTATTAATTCACAATTTAGTAGAATTTGTGCTGACCTTTTTTTTTCAAGCTCGAACTATTTGCTCTTAAACTGAGTTCAGAACAACGTCAGAACCTTAGAGCTATTTTAAAGACTATAGATCGAACTCTTATTCAAACAAACTATGTTTCTAGCTCAGAAGTGAGGACTGTTGCTAAGGTTGGTTATTAGGTAAAATTATTGGTGCAGAAAGTTAAATAAATTTTTTGACTATAAACAAAACCAAGTTTAATTATGAAGTCTAAAGAAAATTTCGTTTTTAGGGGAGAGTACAATTCTTTTCTCCTTGATTTTTACCGATAAAACAAAACCAAAATGTTCTTTTTTGAGGGTGAAAGTACAGAGAAGTGCAGAAGTACGCTTTTCTCCCTTGCATCGCTCTCAATCGGTTTGGAGTAGTGTTTGTCCTTATGCTTACAAATCGCCTAACGATAGGTTATAAAGTTTACTGAACCAAGTATTGATGGGCACATTCGTCTTTTTGCATAAATGATCATT